TGGGATACGGCATTAGTCAAGTAGAGGTTCAAAGCTCAAATAAGCCACTAATACAGAGGTGTGAGAGAAGCTGCAGGTAGTATGTTGTGGCTGGATGTAATTTCTAGTGGGCTTTTCTCTCTCATCCTCTGGCCTTCCCACCCTTAGTACTGTGCTTGGGAAAACAGAGACAAGATGGCAGCCAGTGAAGCTTCCTAGCATATTTTTAATTTTTCTCCCCCCCTCTGTCCTTCTGGATATTTTGTTGCAAATGTAACGCTAATATCATAATTATAGCAGAATGGAAATGGTTTACTCTCACTTCTTCCTGCCAGGGTTAAGTTCTAATCCAAGTCTAGTCAATAAATCGTTTTGTGGCTACTGAGTGAAAGAGACGATGCATCTTTTGACTTGTTTTTAGTTTGTATTTCACTTTGATGAGAACAAATCTAATAACTATTACTTTTTTATTTTATTTCATGTTGGGGAACTTAGTAAAAAATATTCTGAAATGTTCCTGATATAAACCAGGTAGTTTTAAAAATAGGTAATATTGGTTTGATGAATATGTCAATATGGGCACTGGGTGACAAGTGCGCTTTCAAATTTGTTATATAAACTCCGTTATTAAGGGATTTTCCAGATATCTTTTCATTGATTTTAATGAAGAAATAATACTGTTGGCCATTAAGTGTTTTGTTTTTATTAAAGAAATACCTTCATAGCCAAGACCCTTATCTTTTAACGTTATGTAATGGAAACTCTGCGGAATTTACACCCATTACTTAAAGGTCAAAGTGAACTCTAATCTGAAGCTGGTATCTGTGATAGATGCTATCTGAAGTGAATGAAAGTTAACGTTTCAATCTGTGCGTGTAGGCAGGAATGTGGGATATTTCTAATTCGTGACCTAAATTGAAGCTACGGAATGACTTGGTTCATTAATCTGGGTTTTTTTCTTTCTTTTATTTTCTTAGTATTTTGGGTTTGTACTGTACAGAACTACGCTTCCAAAAAACTGTACGGAGCCAACACAACTGTCTTCACCTTTAAATGGAGTCCATGATCGTGCCTATGTGTCTGTGGATGGGGTAAACATTGTTTGCTGGTATTCATTTCTGCCATGAGTGGCCTTCACGAAAGTCATGGATACAGTCTGCCTTTTGGTTTTTTCTCCTTTCTCCAGCTTACGAAAACAACTTTATTAGATAATCTTACTTAATTAGATGAAGGAAGTAAGGAAGTATACAGTTGATTCATATTAAAGTTCGTATTCGTATTTCAGAAAATATGACTAGCTATAATTTCTAAGTAAAACGTAATTGTTTCCATTTTTGAGATATTTGAATGTTGCTATAGATTCATGACTTAAAAAGAAATCTAAAAGAAGGGTTTACTTGCAGGTTCATGAAATATGTTAATGATATTTTTGCTTGGCTGCTTTCTACAGTGTTTCCATAGATTTTTTTTTTTTAAATTTTTTTTATTCTTTTTTTTATTTGTTTGTTTGAAGGTGAGGGGAAGTAGAAGCCTGAGCCTGTCTGTTACCTTATGAAACTGGCTTCTGACCACCAGTTAAAAAAGAGTTTGTGTGGAATGTGAACTTTACCTTTGTTCCCTTGAAGAGAGTTTTGTTCCTGCTTAATGAGAATTAAAATCAATTCATGAACTTTGATAGCCTATTTTTTAATTAATCTTTGACCTGTACTGACTCTCATCACCTTTGTGTCCAGGTCAGTCTCTGCTTTCCTTATGTTGTGGGAATGGAAATAAATAAAACGAAGTATTGATATGAGCTTAATTGGAAGATGAAGCCCCTTTAATCACTGATATTGCGAAAATCTTTTCAGTCACTAGACTAAATTTGAGAACTTGCTTTTTGTGAATCTGGTGCATCAAAAACCACTAGGATTGTGACAGTTGATTGAGTTAGTTGAAATTAGCTAAGGAAACAGATGGTGTCAGTTAGACAAATGCTGCCTAGTAGCACATCCAGTTGATGTACTGAAATGTGAATATTGACATACCAGCTTTTTGTGTGTGCATGCTTGTATGCAGGAGGAGGAAAGGAACACAAATTTTTTTACTTTTTTGTTTGTTTCCTTTGTCCTCTTTCTTTTCGTGCAAGTTGAAGAGACAAATAACAGGGTTCTGTTGGTTTTCAATGGTTATTGTTTTTTTGCTCTTGGTGTAATTTGTATAGGTTCCTCAAGGTGTCCTTGAAAGGGAAAAATCATGTATGGTAAATATAACTGGGAAGGCTGGAGCAAGTCTGGACATCTTGGTAGAGAATATGGGCCGAGTCAACTTCGGTAGATACAATAATGACTTTAAGGTAAGTAAAATCAGTTGAAATACTGGATTGTGGTGGCTTCTTCTCTTTTCCGCAGGTTAAAAAGAAAGTAGTGAGTTAGAGCAAAAAGATCAAGATTACACAGCTGTAACTTTACCTCAAAATATAACTACTCACTAATTTTCATTTGAGTTTTTTTTGTCACCAAAGTCAATGTGGAATTAAAAACTGACAGACATCTTTTAAATTTTTTTTTGTTTGTTCACTTACATTGTCAGCCAAAGCATGACCCACAGAACTTTCAGGTTGAGTTAAGCCTGTAGCTAACATTTTAAAATGTGCAAAGCTGTTTGGACAAGCTCCAGAAATGGGTTGGAAATCGGTCTGGATCTTGGTTGTGCTTCAAGGCTTGTGAATCCTGGGGTTGTATTTGTGTGTGTGTGTGTGTGCATATATACACACACACAATTTTGTGTCTCTCTCCATGTCCCATTTAACTTGTCAGCAGCATGACCTTGCAGTATTTTCAATATGGCTAGGAAAGGCTGTCTCATGAGCACTTTACCATGCAAAATTGCCAGTTCAGATTTGGACTGATCAGGTATTAGAGATAATTATCTGAAAGTTTCCGAACGCTTCTGTGTCCATGCTATGCTTTAGGACTGTCACTTCCCCTGTGTGAGTGGCTGTGGTGGGTTGATGTTGGCTGGCCACCAGGTGCCCACCAAACCACTCTTATCACTCTTCCTCCATCAGCAGGACCAGGGGAGATAATATGACGCAGGGTTCATGGGTCAAGATAAGGACAGGGAGATCACTCAGCAATTACTGTCACCGGCAAAACAGACTTGACTTTGAGAAATCAATTTATTGCCAATTAAACAGAGTAGGATAATGAGAAATAAGAACAAATCTTAAAAACCCTTTCCCCCAGCCCTCCCTTCTTTCCAGGCTCAACCTCACTCATGATTCTCCTGCCTCCTACCCCCATCCAGCACCGGGGGATGGGAAATGGGAGATGTGGTCAGTTGATAACTCTTCATCTCTGCCACTTCTTCCTCCTCGCAATCTTCCCCTGCTCCAGCATGGGTCCCTCCCACAGGAGGCAGTCCTTCATGAACTTTTGCAGCTTGGGTCCTTTCCACGGGGTGCAGTCCTTCAGGAAAGGACTGCTCCAGTGTGTGTCCTCCACGGGCTTACAGGTCCTGCCAGAAAACCTGCTTCAGTGTGGGCTCCTCATCTCAGGCCACAGCTCCTGCCGGGAGTCTGCTCCAGTGTGGGCCCTCCATGGGTTCCAGCTTTGTTCAAGGCACGTCCACCTGCTCTGGTGTGGGTCCTTCATGGGCTGCAGGGTGGATATCTTCTCCACTGTGGACCTCAGTGGGCTACGGGGAAACAAACTGTGTTGCCATGGGTTGCAGGGGAATCTCTGCTCCAATAGCTGGAGCACCTCCTCCTCCTCCTCCATTGACCTTAGTGTCTCCAAGGCTATTTCTTTCCCATTTTTCTCACTCCTCTCACAGCTGCTACACAATTGGTGCGGGTTTTTTTTACCCTTACTTAAATACGTTACCATAGAGGCACTACCAGCGTCACTGATGGGCTCAGCTTTGGCCAGTAGTGGGTCCATTTTGGAGCTGGCTGGAACTGGCTTTGTCTAACATGTAGGCAACTTCTTGCATTTTCTCACAGAAGCCACCCCTGCAGCCCCCCTGCTACCAAAATCTTGCTGTGTAAACCCAATACAGTTGAGGTGCCACTAATGTAACACTAGGAAGGGCAGGGGCGAAAGGGAAGCTTCTCTGGTTTTAGACTTAATGTAATCCCCAGTGCTGTGTGATATTTGCTAAAGAGAGGAGTATTGCAGAGGCCAGTCTTGCGTTCATGCCATGTTTAGTGCCACAGCATGCTATTTTTTTAGTTCTTGATGTTACTGGGCCACAAGTAATAATGAAGTAATTGCAAAGCTTTACAATTAAGAAGAGATTTGCAGCCCCCTAACTGCTAGATTTGACTTGGTCTAAATTGATTTGGCAGTGTTCTTTCAGAAAGCTTGTGAAATGTTTGGTGACTGTCCAGATTAATAGCTCTCTGGTGATTGTAGTGCATTTTGGCATTAGGGTGATGACAGGTAAATTAGAAGCTCCTGTTCCTTCTCAATCTAAATTCTGTCTGTGATAGGTGTCTTGGTGCAGAATTAAGAGTTGTCCCAAGTTTTTCTTGGTTAGTTTGGATGCAAGAACAGGAGAAAGATAAACACCACAGGAAAGACCTGTGCTTGAACAGTACCGTTTAGTTATCAAGCAGAGGCACGTATGCTGTGAGGAAGTAGAATTTTTAAGGTTATAAGTAGAAAAAAAAAGTAAACCCAAGTGTGGATGCGTCTTGACTAGCCTAGTTGGTGAGACAACAAATTCTGGTCAAGTTTGGGCCTGTTAGAGAATCTAGTTCAGTTGTAAAACGTAGTCTGGGAAGACACTTGCAGGATCGCTGGTAGGCAGAAACTCCTGTTCTCACACTTGTGTTTTGCTGCCATGAGTAGGATGGGCCTGTTTGCATTGCTGAAGAAGGGTGTATTGGGTATGATTAAGCAGCATAGAAGAATTGAAGCTAAGGCTTGGTTTAAAGGAGTCTAATTGACCTGTTATCTTATTCTTAAGTGTGTTGTGGTGGGGATTTCTAATTATGCCAAGACTCTAGTCAAGGCAAAACAATATAACTCTGAGCATTTACTAAGCTGGTAGCCTACACGCTTTCACCATATCAAAAACCAGTTTCCCTTGCCTTACCTTTTGGAAAGCATGCAGTTCTTTAAATCCTAATCAGAACAAGCTAAATATATGTGGGAACTTTTAGGATGTATGAAAGCCTCTGAATTAAAAGCATCAGCAATTGAGGCTTTTCTGCGCTTGTGGCACAGAAATTCAGTGGGTAGCAGTAGTGCCAACTCTGTTCATTCTGTCTTTTCAAGGTACCTTGCCTTCATCTGAGTGGCAAGAGAGGGCAGCAAGTTTCCTGGTGGTTTGTCTTCATGATGAGGCAGCAGAAATGTTGCATTTATTTATTTAATAACAAGCTAGGTGATAAGGAAACCTATGTGCTTAGTGCTAAATTAAGGTAACAGAATAGAAGGTTAGAGGTTGGATTAGGGAGGTGCTCAGTCTTGTGTGGTTGAGCTGAAATTCACACTTACACCAGGGTTTCATCCTTTTTAAGATTTAAGAGTGAAAGCAAGTTTAGTAGACGTGCGTTGTGAGAATAATCCTCTAAAAGGAGGATCCTTCTGTGTAGAAGAGGCAGCCTTTCTCAGGTAGCTTTGGAATATGTGCATTGCTTCTTCCCATAGAATCCCTCCCTCACACTTTTCTTTGTGTTGATTTTGAAAACTTGGAACAGTTATACCTTGGGTTTTAGATAATTTGTGCTTTCAAAAATGATGTTAGGGGAAGAGATCCCTACCCTGTGAAGCCTAGCATTTTTAAGCAAATAGAGTAACTTTTCTGGGTTTTGTTTGGCTAGTTTTTTATAACTTTTATGAACTTGAAATGGAACTAGGCATCTAGCTTTTGGGAACAAATCTTAAAATGATTCTGGTTTTAAAACATTCTGCTGGTCTAAGTCTTGTTGTTGAAGGATGCAAAGGAAGGAAGAGTGTGGTTTCTGTTTTTCCTACACTTTTTCGCATGCTCACTGCCAGCTATCTCTTTGTTTTACTTGGAGAATTTATATCCATAGCTGGACTGCTGAATATGTGTTCTTATGCAGACCAAACGAAGGATGCTTAATGGGCGCGTCGCGTTCGTAGTGCCTAAAGATGGGCTTAGGGAGGCAGGTTAGACAGTTTGGACTAAAGTTATGTTGCATTACTTCAATTTATTGCTAGACAGAGTAAAGTCTAAGTTGTATAGAAAAGTTTTGCCACTTAACTCTGTGCAGATATTTTATTTTGATACAAGTAAAATAAGCTCCTGTTCTGTAAAGTGGTCATCTAGGTAAGGGAAGAGAAAACCAGTTAGTGCTCATACTGATGATGAAGCTTATGGAGTCAGTGCAATGCTTATTAGGCATTAGTACAGACACATGACATAGTGTCAGCCCTCCAAGGCCATAGAAAATGTGGTTTTGCTTGTTCCTGTTTGATATGTGGTTTTTGCAACAGAACTGAAGTTGCAAACTTAAAAACAGCTTCTATGCAGGGTCTACTCAAGCGATTATATGGATGTAGTAGCACTGATTTAAAATCAACCTCTGCATTCCACTGAAACACCACTTTAGAGGCTGTTGTTGTAACACAGTTAGCATGTAACTTAATGTAACTTTTAGAGGTAACTTAGAAGTTAGAGGTAGAGGTAACTTCATGTTGCTTTTACTCTTCTTAAATCATGACCTGACCTTGCTTTTGCATTCATTGTGCGAGTACCCTGGTGTGCTGCACACATGGTCCACAGAAATAAAACAGGACTCCGTGGGCTTGAAGCTGACTGTAAACTTAAAATATTTCACTGAATCAGGGTCACAAAACATGTGCATTGGTTTTCTGATACTGTTATGTTAGCTGTAGAAGTTTTGTAGGAAGTAAATACTGCTTTCTCTGCTATTGTGCAGGTTTATGTCTTTGGTTAGTGACTCAGTGTTACCAAATCGCTTGATGGTATCTCAGACTTACGATATTTAATGCTTTTTCCGCTTTTTATGAAGCCCCAGGTTTTGGAATCATGTTCATGTTAAAGCAAAACAGAAGTTTTCACAGTTATGGGAAAAAGGTTTGAAAAAAAACTCGGGCATCAGTGAAAGCTCACAGCTTTGAAGAGGAACAAATGTTTCACTGAGAATAAATGAAACCCTTTATTCTTAAGCAAAGTTTATAACCTGGTGGAGGCCAGATGCTTGGTTTTTCATACACAGATTGGTAGCTGTTGCACGTACTTTGGTGCATTTTTTTATTCCTGACTGATTTATAGTTGCAGCCAAATAACTTCAATAACATGAAGCTAATCGTTATATTTTGGGTTTGTTTTTTTTCCTCCTACTCCTAGGGTCTAGTTTCAAATTTAACTCTTGATCAAGATATACTTGTTGAATGGGAAATCTATCCTCTAGACATAGATGGAGCAGTGAACCATGACATTAATGGCCACCTTGATCAACCAAAGAGTTCTGCCGGCAGTCCACTGAGTTATGAAGCACCTACTTTTTACACTGGTAGACTTTCAATTCCTGGAGGGATTCCAGACTTGCCTCAAGACACCTATGTCAAGTTTCCTGGCTGGACAAAGGTACAACTTTTTTTGCTGTAAAAAGCAAGCTGCTGAAACTTCTATGGACAGTAAAAGTCCACCTCTCTTGGGTAGGTGGAAGTTGGTTGTAGTGGTGGTTGTCTCAAATATATTTAAACAACTAGGAAATGGATTCCAGGCATGAAGTAAATCTGGAGATAAACTCTTAAGAGAAGGCAGACATGTTCAAAAGATACGTGGTATTGTCCAGAAAGTGGAGCAACACAGAAAAAAAACACTCTAGTTTGTCAAGAGTGAGAAACGTCAACTGTCAGGGTATTTAGAAATGCTGCATTTAGCTGTGAGGGTTTTGTTTTGTTTTGAGGTGTGGAGCAGAAACAGCTTTTTAGAGGGAGGGAGTGAATATATACTTTGAGATAAAACAATTTTTTATTCTGGAGAAAGTGGGTTGCTACAGGAGACTTTCCTGGTTATATTAATTAACTAAGAACATATTTGCGGTTCTGTGTGAGGCACTATGGATCCTGTTACAAAGCAGAGAGAATGCTGGACACAACTGCTGGTGTTGCACCCATAGATACGGATCCAACGCATGGAAGAGGTTACTGCTTGTCTTCTGGAGGTTACTTGTAACTAGGCTGAATGGATCAGAGTGCGCTACTGTGAGAAGCTTGTGGGCAGATCTCTGTTGATAGGAACTTCTCAGAGGGCTGGAGCATAGCTAGAGCAGCAAAGAGTGTGTTTTCACAGTGCTGCGTTTGAAACAGCCAACATGCAGGATGGGTAAGGACCAGCTCAGCGAGGAGCAGAATGTGTGCACTGAAGTGCCACTCATCTTGGAGACCTAAGCATTTAAGTCCAGGCTTCAGGGAAGTGCCTGTGATAATGTTAGGTAGCAAAATTATTCCTTTCTGAAACAATTAATTTACTACTATTAAAATAAAGTAGGAGAAGGAGCTGCTGGTGATCTATCTACAGTATTGTAGTGGTTAAAGTACTTCCCAATATGCAAAAGGCTGTGATTCATTGCAGGCACTTTAGTGTTTCTGGCACTGAGCTTGGGTGAGGAAGTCTGACTTAGTCCCTGTTCCTGTATGTGTGCATGTCTTACACAATCACTGAATAAAATCCGAAAATAGCTCTTTGCACAAGCAGTGGAATCTGAGACTTTTACAGTAAATTGACCCCATGAATCATAAATCTTCTTCAGGAAGCATGATGACCATACCTGCCTGTTGGCAAACTCATCTTTGAAATGGCAAAGGAGTCCAAGACTTCTTACAGATTGGTGGAAATATTTTCCTCTGATCTATAGAAACCTCTGTTTTACATAGTTTATATACCCTGTAAAGCAGTCAAGGTGAAGAGATCACAGATGAACTATAAGTAGGGCTATTGAATTGATCCGTCAAGCTTCATATGGATTGGATCAAACTTTTAAATAAGATACCCAGGAGTAATAAGATTGAGGTGATACTGGGTGTGAAATCCAAGACTTTCAGATAATTTTACCAGTGAGCAAATGCCTTTAAGGCAGAGGGCATTAAGGGTGTAAATTCCACTCAGGTCCCACTGTATCTGGGCCTTAATTCCTCAGTGGCACTGTATAAATTGCTGATGGTAAGGTGTGGAGAGGGACTGTTAGTAGGGGTTAAAATTCACCTATTTGAGCAGGTGGAAAACCATGGAGACAACACTTACAGAGTAAACATAAAATTCTAATGATGGTTCTGCCTTTATAGATTTAAGACAAGGAATATGGCATGCTGGACGGCCTGGAAGGAAGGGTGCAGCATTAACAGTCGTGGCCTATGTTGTAGCTTGCTTGCCTTCAGTGGTTTTTAAACCCTTCACTATTTATGAAACTTCCTTTACCCTCACTTGAGGAAGCACAATGCCCTTAAGCATACTTGTTCCTGAATGTATGGTTAGATTTATCAGACTTTTTTTTTTTTTCAACAGAAAAGAGGATTTGGAGTCAGGTTCTTGATTTCTGTGGAAGCATGGGTTGTAGTTGCTGACCCTGCTAAAGTAAATCTTGTTACTGAAGATAGAGATCCCCCCTTCTTTATTTTGTGTAGGGCATATTTATTGGTAGTATGTGTAGTGTCATGATTTGCTGGTTAATAAGTACAGGTTGTAAGTGAGAAATCAAGTTCATAGCTTTACTGGAAAAATGAGCTACAGCCGGTGACTGATGAAGATCAGAAACAAAGACCTGTCTGATCATACCACCTGCATTAGAATTCTAATGAAGCTGATTCCTACAGTAAACTCCTACTTCCCGGAGAGTTACAGTCACTCCCTGTAGTAGGTAGGCTACTGTCTAGTGGGTACACTCACAAATTCATTTTGTTTTTTGGGGAAGTTGCATTAATGCTATATTTTCTTCTAAAACTACCACAGAAGCGAAGTAGTGAGTTTGAACAAGTAGCTCTTCTCTTACTTTTTAATGTAGCAAAAACAAGCCACAAAGCAAGATAAACTTGATTAAAAAAAAAAAAAGTTTGAGGTTAAAATTTAACACCTTGGCAGAACTGTGCAAGATAGGATCTTACACTACAGTGGTAGATACAGAGCTGAAATAACTTACCTGTATTTGCGAATGTACCAACTCCTTACAAAATTTCTCCTGTGCATTTCATAAAATTTGTTTTCATAAATACTTTAAAAAGAAAACACAAGAAAAATACATCCAAAACAGCTGGAATAGCAATATTTACTATATTACAACTGCACTTCTGTAAATTCTTTAAAAGTATTATTCTGATTTCAGCTATCCCAGACAATATTAGAAATTGCTGAGTGCAGTAGAAATCCTTACTTTCCACTGATTCGTACTACATTATTATTTTTACCAGTGTACATCAAGTTAGTTTGGTGATCAGAATATAGAGGAAAAGCAAATGCCAAAGTGAGAGGGAAAACACAGATGCAGTTGTCTGTTCCCATCCCTTTTCTTGTCCACGGAACTTGTCTGACGTATGCTGAAGACACTTAGGAGGATGAAAAGCAAATTCTTTGTCTGTATCAGCTGTATATCCTCCCTGCTGTCTTGCCTAATGAACCAAGATTCAGCTCAACTCAAGAAGAGTCCATGTACAGTTTTATTAAACATTATGCAACTCACCAATTTATAGGCTTTTGGAAAAAAATCTGCATTTGTCACTTCAGTGTGTCTATTTTGTGATGTATAAATGACTGGTTTGACTTTTTCTTTTCCCCCTTGCCCTATTTTAGTTTATCTTTCCAACTTCAGGTATTTATAATGTTAGAACAGTATACTGAACTAGGGGTTCTGGCCACCTATGCTATAAAAAGTAATTAAAAAAGTTTGTATGCCAAGTTAAGCACAGTTTCATTGAACTTTAATTAATGTTAGCAGACTCCCCAAGATTTTCATGGTTGTGGGTAGCTACAGCAGAATACAGTACCCTCTTGCAGTGTGATTTCACAAGTTCTTTTGTTGACTAGGCTGTTAGAAGTATAATAGACATCTAAATTTCATGTGTCTAGACGAGCTGTATCTTTCTCATGAAATCATGCACCAGGAAGGGACTACCAGGGTAGTGTAGTCTTACACTTTTACAGAGAGCTACAACAGAATTAGGATCTGCTTTATTTGTGAGTTCTTTCTCCCTTTAACAATCAGCTTCAAGCAAATACAATTTTCAAGTTTGCTTTGGTCTTAAACTTGGTGCAAAATTCAGTGCCAGGAACTTGCAATTCTGTTTTCCTAAGTGTTGTCATACTTAGAATTACTGCAGTAGCTGACCACTTTCTTTTTAAATATTAGTGGTGGCTTTAACTCATGAGCAATTTAATTCTTTTGACTATCATTAGCGTTCTCTTGAACAGATTTTCTATCCTTGTGTTCTATCAGACTGAAAGATGGAAGAAATTCAGTTACTATCTGAAGAGCGTTATGCTTAAAGCTACTTCATCATGTGATCTCTGTCAAATTATTAAAATGTCATTATTTTTTCTTTCTCTCTTAACAGGGGCAAATTTGGATCAATGGCTTTAATCTTGGTCGCTACTGGCCAGCACGTGGTCCTCAGTTGACCCTTTTTGTTCCAAGGAATATACTTGTTTCATCGGTGCCAAACAACATAACAGTGTTGGAGCTGGAGCGTTCTCCTTGCAGCACCTGGGCATGCGAGATAGAGTTTGTAGACAAACCTAATATCAATGCAACCACACAGTATGAAAGTTATGCTCCCCAGCAATTTGTTAGAGACATGTGGCTGAACCATCTATAATTTGAGCAGATCTTTATCTTCCCCCCAACTTTGCTTCCCTTCCCATCAAACCATACTTCCCTTTTTTAAACACTTAGTGTTAATCAGTAAGTTGTTCAGCTGAGGCAATGTTTTAAATTCTTCAAAGACCTTTTTTGTTTTTTTTTTAATCTGCCAGTGTTAAATACTGAAATTCTCTTAAAAAATAAAAGGTGTAGCTTTGGAATTTGCATTGGACTGTGAAATTGAACTCAACTGGACGATAACGTTTGCATCAGTTTAGTAAAAATGTAGTTCTTGTAGGCTGATTACATTACAGGAACCCTCTTACACTTTTCTTTTTTTTACCATGTTTTGCAACTGGAGAGGAGCCTACAAAAGGGGTGTGCAGTCCCGCTACCTTGCTGTTTTTACTAATGTCAGAGCTGCCCATAGACCAGACACTTTCAGGTGATTTTATCTCCTGGTTAGTATCAATATCATTTTATTCTGAACGGGCTCACTGCCAACATTCAGCAGACCTGATTTTTATCACCTCTATGCAAGTGACCTTGGAAAAATTGCAATTGATATCTTACCGGAGCAGTGAAGAGCACAAGCTGGTCCAAAGAGCAGGAACATGGAGAGGGATCTTGTAGTCTGCATCCGTCCCCTATTAGAAAGCCAATTTACTGATTCTCTTCTGCTGTCTCTGAAGTAATTTGAGAAGTACAATTACATATGTAAAATTTAGGTTGTTTTGGTTGGACCATAGTCTCTGATTAACCTGCCTGCGGAATGTAGTCTTAAAATGAGCCATTTTTCCTTTAATAGATCCTTTTTCTTGTCTATTTTTTTTTTCCCCTAGTGGGCCTGGAGTACCTGTTTTTCATAGACCAGCACCTTGGAAGTGGAAGGCTTTTAACTTAAAGGATTTTATTTCTCTAGTCATTAATTCACATCTTCTGTTTTGTTCCAGTAAACTGATGTTCTTTGTAAGTGCCTGATATTTGCAAAGATGCTCAATCTCTGTCAGTAAAGCTGACTTTCTACAGCAAACAGAATCTTTTACAGTTTTGATGTCAATCATGCAGACTCCTTTGTGAGATTTAAGTAACAAAAGATTAAGATGATGGAATCAAGTATTTTTGTAATCTGTGGTTTCTTCCTTTGATTTTTGTCTGACATTATTAAAATGGTTCTTCCTTTGTGTGTTTGAGAAGGAAAAAGGGGAAGAAGAAGAGTTATGAGCAGTTACAGTATTGAGAGGAATGAGGTTGTAAAGTCTCTGTGGACAAAGAGTTATTCTCCTTGATGTCTGATTTGTTTTCTGTGTTAGGAAGATGTGTGCAAAGTAAAGCAAAAAAAAGTAGCTGTAATAGGCTATGTGGACCCTGGAGGTGCCACCCTTTTCTGAGATGGCCAGTGCAAAAACCTGAGTTTCTTCTCAGCTGATGAGGACTGATACTGTCACGGGAGGAGAGAGTGAAAAGGAGCACCACTTGCTTGAGTATCTACATCTCTGCTGTGTGACGTGTTTGGTGGGCTTTCAAACCAGACACATGTGGTTCACCTGAGCCAGAGAGCTTCTACTCTTAAATTCTCACCTCAGTTGCAAAGTCTAGTGGCTGCAGGCTGTTTGTTCAGTACCAGACACACGTCATTCTTGGAATAAAGTGGTCTGCTCTGACTCCAGATTTTGTTTCTTGGCACCATCCCTATGCAGACCCCTGGAACATGCTCTGCAAGCAGTTTATTATGAAGTATGAATTACCTCAGAGCCAGGTCTTGAAAGTAAGGAATGGAACAGAATTAGTTTCATACCGGTTGTGGGTTTTGTGGCTTGAAGTGTGCAGAATGACAGTACTGTTTAGGTATTATTCCTACAACAATTCGGTGCTTTAAGAGCCAGGAGTATTTTTATTTTTCTGGCAGTTAGTGCTGTGAGGGGAGTGAAACTCCTAACTCTCATTCTAACTTCATTTTGTTTTACATTGTACTTGTGAAAGCGTAGTGTAATCCATGAGACCATTTTTTGCCATAACTGTGTGTAATATTACCAGCAGAAAGGCTTTGCATCAAGGATTACAAACATGCATCTGGTTAGATGTAAGAATAACAACAACATGGAAAAAATGGGCTTAAAGCTTTTCAAGTGTTTGAGCAAGTAGGTCACAGAGCTGACAGATACTCACCTGAGCCTCTGACAGCAGTTTGGTTATTTACTGGCCATTGTTGTCTCTGTACCAGCAGGAAACTGAGTTTTGCAGTCACTCATCTTCTTCCCTTTTTTGCTTGCAAATGCTCTAACATAACTTCCTAAAGGAACTGCTGATTGATGTGCTGTCCCCATGTTTTCTCTTTTAACCTGTTCTTGTATGTATTTTTCCCAGATTACAAACACCATAATACAAGATGAAAGGTTTGTGAGAGGGCATCTAGTCCTATGCCTCTCTACCCTAAGCCAATGTCATCTGTATCCAAAATATTCCCAGCGTGTTTAACTTGTTCTTCAAAATTTCTTGTGATGGGAACTCCGGTCTTCCCTAGGCAAGCCATTCTAGTGCTTATTGTTATGAAAGTTGGCAACAGCTAACTGAAGCCTTCATTGCTGTAAGCAAGCCAGTTATCACTTTCACTGCCCACAGCTGACACAAAGTATGTCTTTGTGCCCTGAGACTGTTTTGGGTCTGCTCTGTTACCTTCTTACCTCCCTGATGGACTGGATTTACAGAAGTTTTAAGAGGTGCAGAGCAACATAGAGAAGACTCAACAAGGATGTGAAAGGGTGACCAGCTCCTGAATGACCTGGTCCAGGTGCTGCAGCAGCTTTTTTTTTTTTTTTTTTTGAAGAAATGACTGAGTTGCAAGAAAGCTGTCTTGCAGTTCAGGACTTAAAAGCATGGCAGCCAGCCGCAAGGTCCTGGCTGGAAGATCATGTGACAAAAAGAACTGGAAGCTACAGAAGAATGGGCTCTGCTTTAGTGGTGGTTCTTCAAAGAGAAGGCAAAATTGGGCAGGAAGAGATGACCTTGGGACTTGATGGAACGGGCTGAATGGAAAAATGTTGGAAAAAGATGTCACAAGGATCTTTGTCATGCTTTTGCTGAATGAAATGTGTATGTTTAAAGATTCCTTTTCAGAAGTTATTTTCTGTTGCTGGTTATGTTATCAAAGATGGGAGTAGTGAACCAGAGTCCCCAGCTTTGGGGGAAGTCTGGAAAGTGTGTGTTACCTACAAGAGGTTTCACAGAACGAGTGCTTGTATCAGGCCCTTTCAGTAGGATATATGGTCTTCCTGGCCAAGGAATTGGGGATGTATTTAAGAATTTTGCACTTTAGCACATACACATCTCTGTCAGGAGCCAACTATGTATAGGACTCCAAAGTCAGGGTCTTAGGAAGGTCTCACTTTTAATTCTGTAGTGTTGTAATGGGAAGCACAGTCTTGCTCATGAAACTCTCCAGCACATGTTCATAGCAGACTCTGTGCAAGCATCGTGATAAGATTGCTATCTTGCACTTTGGTAATGTGCTTACAGCTGCATGACTGTAACTTAGCCTTTCTATTTTTTTTTTCGTAGTCAAGGAGGAAAAAAAACCCAACTCCCAAATGGAACTGGGAATTGAGTTTGAAACTCCAACAGAAAGGGCCTTTGTTAAGTAGAGTGGATCTGTTGAATGCCAGTGCAAATCAAGTAAGAAAATGCAGCCAGTATCTACAGTTTGAAAGGATTTTTCTGTAAAGTCTCCTTATTTGTTGTAAGTGTATGCACTATTATTTTTTAAACTGGGTGCTTCTGTAGGGCTCTTGCTTCTATGTTAATACTAAAGAGCATTTTCAGTGTTGTCTGTGGTTGTGGGCCAGAGCACAGATCTCAGCACAGTGTGGGAAAATGCCTAGCAATTGAGGGTCATCCCTCTAATGCTATAGCTAAGAAATTAGTAGAGACAGCAGTGACAGGACGAGGGGTAATGGTTTTAAACTAAAACAGGGTAGGTTTAGGCTAGATATAAGGAAGAAATTCTTTACAATGAGGGCGGTGAAACACTGGAACGGGTTGCCCAGAGAGGTAGTGGAGGCCACATCCCTGGAAACATTCAAGACCAGGTTGGACAAGGCTCTGAGCAACCTGATCTAGTTAGCGGTGTCCCTGCTCGCTGCAGGGGGGTTGGACTAGATGAACTCTAGGGGTCCCTTCTGACCCAAAACTTTCTATGATTCTATGAAATTATTCTTCTCTGTTTTCCGTTTCATCCTTCCTTAAGTCTTGCTGGTTCTTCGTGTTGCACTAGTGAAGTCTTATGTGTAGAGAAATTTTAAAAAAATTCCCTTCAATGTGTCTTTAGTTGTCTGAAGTGGAGTTGATCTCCACCCCTTCTACCTATCCATCATTAGTTTGCAAGCTGAATGAAAATGCCTTTGCTTCCACGTTGCTTATGCCTTTCTCCTGTCTTCCAAATCCCTTTCAGAGGTTCCTTTTTGCAAGTCCTACAAATCTTAGTTGGGTGCACAGAGTGAACACTCTTTATGAATCTCTAGTCTAAATTTAGCCAGAGGTTTCCCCTGGTTGTAGGCTTTTGCAATAGCACTCTCCAAAGCACTTGCCTTGGGAGAAGGTGAATGGTAGTGTGTGGTGGCTGCAGGATCTGGACGTTTTCCTGTGCTACAGGTGAAGGGGCCTTCTAAAGCGTAGGTAGAGTTGTTGAGGAGAAGGAGGAAAAGAAACTGATAGTTTACTCTTAACCTTGCTCGTGCCCTGTCTGTTGCTGAGCTTTAGACTGTAACCCTTCTACTGTTTACAGAAAATGTTAGTTGCTATTTTCACAGCAGGTACGTATGGGATAATAAAGAAGCTGGACAGAATGAAAATTTGCTCTATCTTCTTGCCTCCTGCATGTTAAATTTTATTTCTGGATGTTGAAACACTCCACTGTACGGGCAAGGCTTCCCAGAAGACTTGAGGCTCTGAGAGATGGGTCTGGATCATGCACACACTTCACATATTTTCTTTCAAGCTTTCTGACTTCTTTTTTTCCTCTCAGTTTTAGGATGTGGTTTGCACTA